AGTAGGATTGCCCAACCTTCCTTCCGAGGAGTGGCTGGTGGGTTTGAACCACCAGCCTTCTGGTTAGCAGTCAAGTGCTTTAGCCACTATGCTACCAGAGATTACACAACCTTATTTCCTGCAAGCGAAAAGGATTTGAAACACTGATGAAGATCAAAGACAACAGCCTTCAATGTGCTTTACACCTTAACACAAAGCAAACAAAAATCCTCATAACTGGACCAATAAGCAACATCATGATAAATGGAGAAAAGAATGAAGTTGTCAATGATTTCACAAAACTTTGATATACAATCAACTCCCATGGAAGCAGCAGTCAAGAAACCAAACAAAGAACTGTATTAGGCAAATTTTCTGCAAAAGATCTCAACATGTTGAAAAACAAAGATGTCATCTGACTACTAAGGTGCACTCCCCCCAGATCATGGCATTTTCATTCGCCTTAGATGCACGCAAAGGACTTCTAGTGGTGTAGTGGTTAGAACAGTTGGTTGCTAATCAAAATTCCAGAAATTCAAACCCACCAGCCGCTCTGTGGAAAAAAATATGAGGTAGGCTGCTTCTGTAAAGATTTATAGCCTTGGAATATAAGGAAAACCAAAGAAGAGTTGATGCTTTTGAGTTGTGGAGTTGGTGAAGAATGCTGAAAGTACCATGGACTGCCAGAGGAACTAACAAATCTGTGCTGGAAGAAGTACAGCCGGAATGCTCCTTGGAAGTGAGAATGACCAGACTGTCTCGCCTACTTTGGTCATACTGTCAGAAGGAACCATTCCCTGGAGAAGGATATCATGCTTGGTAAAGTAAAGGGTCAACGAAAAAGAGGAAGTCAACAGCATGGATTGACACAGTGGCTGCAATGATGGGCTCAGGAATAGCAAGGATCATGAGGCTGGCACAAGACTGAGCAGTGTTCATTCTTTGTACATAAGGTTGCTATGAGTCAGAGACGACTCAACAGCACCTAACAACAACAACAACAAACTCAATGGGCAGTTCTACTTTGTTCTAAAGGGTTGCTATGCCTAAGGCACTTGACTGCTAACCAGAAGGCTGGCGGTTCAAACCCACCAGCCACTCCTCGGAAGGAAGATGGGGCGATCTACTTCTGTAGTGATACTGCCTCGGGAACCTAAGGAGGGGTCACTGTGAATTGGGTCTGACTCGACGGCCATAACAATAACAACAACAACATGAGTCAGAATTGACTCGATGGCAGTGGGTTTTTATGAGTCAGAACAAATTTGACAGCACTTAATAGCAACAATGCCTATGTCATTGATCTCAAGCTTTCCATTTCATTTTTGACAACTCCCAATTTTCTTTGAGCCATACTTCATGCATTCCATGTTCCAATTAATGGATTGTTTCTTCTGATTTTGAGTCATACCACATCAGCAACTGAAGGTCTTGAAAGCTTCACTCCATCAACATTTTTAAGGTTGACTGTACTTTGAGAAGGCAGTTTTTTCCTAGCTGTATCTTCCAACCTGAGGGGCTCATCTTCTGTCATGATATCAGGTAATGTTCCACCACTATCCGTAAGGTTTTCCCTGGCCAGTTTTCCCAGAAGTAAATCACCAGGTCTTTCTTCCCAGTCTGTGTTAGTCTGGAAGCTCTGCTGAAACCTGTCCACCATGGATGATCCTGCTAGCATTTGAAATACCAGTGGCATCACTTCCAGCATCAAGCAACACACTAACTGCCACAATGCAACACACTTGACAGACAACTGGTGATTCGAAGCACTGTTGTTGTTGTTGTTGTTATGTGCCGTCGAGTCGGCCCCGACTCATAGCGACCCCTCCTTGGGTTTCCGAGGCAGTATCACTACGGAAGTAGGATTGCCCAACCTTCCTTCCGAGGAGTGGCTGCACTAGCACACTTTATTATTTCAGTTGACCCTCACAAAAACTTTGTACAATTGAGAGCCTGGAAGTTATTCTTCCAAGTGGATCAAACAGGTAAGATACAGAGCAGTTTAATAATCTAATTCATTGAACATTTAATGAATGTCTGTTTGCCAGGCACTGTTCTAATTATGTTTGTCTATCTTGCTAATGCCTGAGCCAGAGTCAGAATTCTTGATCCATCATTGTTAACGGGAATGTAGCCACACTGCATTCATTTATGGCTGCTCTTCAGTGCGTCACTTGAATACAAAGCTCTTGATTAAAGTCTTGATAAAAATATATTCTGGCTATACCATAAAACATAAGCCTGTGGGTATTACATAAAGGAAAGGTTTTTGTGTTTTATACATTTGGTGAGTGGTATGTCCCATACATTTTTATGGAGGATGTATATATATTTAAAATATTTTTATATATGAATTAAGGTTAAGGCATTTGGCTGCTAACCAAAAGGTTGGTGGTTCGAACCTACCAGCTGCTTTGCGGAAGAAAGTAGAGACAGTCTGCTTCTGTAAAGATTTACAGCCTTGGAAACCCAATGAGGGTCACTATGAGTTGCAATCGACTTGATAACAGTGAACTTGTTTGTTCTGGTTTTGTATATTGACCAAAGGTTAAGTTTTAATCACATAACCCACAGGGTGCAAGGTCTGTGTGAGCCAACGGTGTTTAAAACATTTTATGAATTAATTTTAAATGTACAGCTTTATAGCTTGATTTCTTTGCATTCTTTTAAGTATTTGAAAACAAATAAATAGGTGTTTTATACCTTAGTCACAGAGATATTACAGATGGGCTCTATTAGACACCAACTCAAAACATTTCAGGTAAAAATCCTTTAAGATTTTACGGAAAAAAAAATCTGAGCCCTGATTTGGTCAAATGCTATTCTGAAACAGAACTCCTGAAGTGAAATGTATAGTAATTTCTGGAATGTAAAAGCCGAAGTTATTGTCTACATGGTCTACCCAGTGTTTGTCAAAATGGCACAAATCCATTACAATGGATTTCAGAGATGTTCTTCTTTTGACAAGTATACCTCCATATGTTCAAGTACTACATGAAGTTCAAGTCTTCTAACAATTTTTTTTAGGGTTTACTTGATTTCATTGTTAGTTGAAAACTCTGGGTATGCGCATGTATACACATACGCCACTTACATAAATTTCCCATTTTAAATGTTGAAACTGTGTATGTTTAGGTATAACCAGGAGATTAACAATTACTAGAGAAATTGGGGCATGAAAAGTATGTTTTCTCAACATCAAGTCCAACGCTAGAAGCAAGTCACAGGTTTCGATGTTTTTACACGGTGCTGTGTTTTTACACGGTGCTGTAAACATGGTTTCCATGGTCCCTGTCTACACGACACTCCTGCTCTGCCAGGATGGAGAGTCTTGCTGGCCATATTGCTGATGTGGTCAGACTAGTCAAGTGACTGCAGAAAAGGCACATTCTTCAGTCAAGCTGATGGTCTGCCCTCTGTTCTGTAGTCATTGTTGTTGGCTTTACACTCTAGGATAAGGAAGTCTTGAGCCCTATAGTAGGGCCATACTAGCATCTAATGCATCATATATTAAACAGTCCGGGCCACTCTGCTGCAAGGCTCCTTTTTGAGTGGCGATGAGTTATATACAAGTGGATCTTCACTCACTGACTTAGGTGGGAGACCTTAAAGGTGTTTCTTCTCTCCTTCCATAACTGGATTGGAAGCCTGAACCAGGTGTGCCTTGTGAGGATTGCCTGAGTTAGCCACTTACATATGGCAAGTAGGGGGTGAACCTTCAGATGAACCACTAAACGCGTGCTGTCATTGTCCAATCCCAAAATTCATATCCCTCGGCCCTGCGCTCCACTCGGAAAGCCCTGAAACCTCGAATCCCTTAACTCATTCCGGCAACAGTACCAACTCACGGAAGCCAGAGTGTTAAGGAAGGCACTCAAGCACAGTATCATTCCTCTTTCAGGCCGCGCGCTGAAATCAAACGCAACGCACTCTTTAGGGGCCAGGCCGCGCATGCTCCGTTCCCTCTCTGGGCTGAGCCGCGGCCTCCGCCAGCTAACCCGCCCCAAACCCGAGGAGTTGGGCGGGGCCGCCTCAGGGCAGCGGGGAAAAGAGAGTCTGGAAGGAAGAGACGCCGGAGGCGCGTTCTGCGCAGGCGCGCGGCTCCCCGCATCCCCAACGTCGGCTCTCGGGCGGGCGGCGCGGGCCCTCCCACTGTCTCCCGCGCCGCCTCACCGTCCTGGCCCTCGCTTCACCCCGACGCCCCGGTGTGCCCGTCCTCCCGCCGGCCTCTGGCCGGGCGCTTCCGCCTGCTCCGCCGCTGCTTCTCGCGGCCCCAGCTTGCGTTCACTCTGTCGCCTGGGCCAGCGCGGCCGCGGGCAACCGCTCCCCCTCCCACACCTACCCCGCCCCCTCTCTGCTTTTTCCGTTCTCCGGTCCCCCTCCCTCGGCCCGCAGCCGCAGCTCCAGATGAGGTGATGGCAGCGTCCAACTTCGGCAAGATCCAAATCGGGATTTACGTAGAGATCAAACGGAGCGATGGTGAGCTGCGCTGCCGGCCGGGTCAGCCCTGCATTCGAGTGTGCACCGAGGGGACGCGGGCGCTGGCCGCCTCATTGAATGCTCCGTGGGCTGTGGGGGCGGGAAGGCGGTGGCCGCGGTGCTTTTGTGTGTGGCTTGTGAGGCCAGCGTGGGGTCCGCCCGGGCGCCTCTGCGGTGCTGGGGGCGGGGAAGGGCCTTGAAGAGGGTTGCAGGGGACTGGGCTGCAGGCAACGGCGGACGGGGAAGGGGCCTGGGTGTCGTGGGCAGTGTCTCTGGGGGTTTCGGGCGAGCGCAGTGGAGGGGGCAGGGGCCAGGAAGACGGCCCCTTGCTCCTCCTGCTATCGCGGTCCTCTTCGGCGCTTCCAGTACTGGAGGGAGCGGGCTTCCTGAGGGATGACCCTCCGCGCGTTTTAGCCCGGCCTTTTCATTTTTACTGGCCTCTTCTCTGAACATTGGGGGGTGGGGGGTGGGGAGGGTGCAGAGCAGTGATTTGAATGTGTTGAGAGCCGACTTCTGCTTTAGAGGCTGAGATGAGGAAAAAAAAATTACATTGATTTAAACTGCTGTCTGGTTGTCGGGCCTCTTAAGCTCTCGTTTCTGGAGCATGTTTCTTTCGTTTTGCTAGCCTCTTCTTTGGGAGAAGGATGTAGATAAGAGAATGTCGCGCTCAGCCATGGATGAGGATGGGGGAGCAATGGGAAGAAATATTCGATAAGCTTCCCAGAGATGATGGAAGTGAAAGGGGAAGGAGGTGACGAGCCCGGTCAATGGGAGGCACTGCCGAGGGTTGGGGGTGGGCGACCGGATGTTGATATTTTCACACCCTCAGGAGAGGTAACAAAAAGTGTGAGGGAAGGTGAAGGCACATGCTTTATTTAAAAAAAAAAAAAAAAAAAGCTTCTGGCTTACGTATTTTTCTGTAGATTCTTCTTGGGGGAAATGTTTTACTTAAGTAGCTTGGTATAGAAATTGAGGTATGCTGCCAGAGTTGTAAATAATCTGTTGTGAAGAAGAGAAGTACAACTCCCTTTTTTTTTTTTTTTTAATCCAAATATTGAAGGAATTAGAGGTGTGCAATGTCTAGAAATGTGTGATGTTCTTGACTCCATCTGCCTATGCCAATTTCTTTAATTTATGGTTTACTTGCTATCCATTAGCCTAGTCGCTGGTAACCTTGCCGTCACATCCACATCCTTTTGGTTTCTACCAAGTTATGTAAAGCTAGATTGACTTTCATGTTATCTATGTGATACATTGGAAGATATAGCTAATACATATTTTTCTTATTTGCGTGTGAGGTTATTTGCGTTAGCAAGTAGAAGCATCATTAATTATCTTTTATGTGAAAAGATGAATTATTCCAAGTTGAGCTTTAGAAATAACTATTAACGCTAGTGGGAAAACGATGTTTCCTTTACTTGGGTTCAAAACCAAAACCAAACTCACTGCCGTCGAGTCGGATCCAACTCATAGCGACCCCTCTTTGGGTTTCCGAGGCGATAACACTACAGTAGTAGATTGCCCCATCTTCCTTCCCAGGAGTGGCTGGTGGGTTTGAACCTCCAGTCTTCTGGTTAGCAGTCAAATGCCTTAGGCATTACGCCGCCAAAGCTCCTTTGCTTGGGTTGGGTTTATTTTTTTGTCTCCTCACATTGACTTTGCTGAAAATGCTGTTAGTGTCATACCCTTTTTAGGTGAATACGGATTCACTGAATACCAGGATTACTATGAGTCAGAAATGACTTGATGGCAGTGGGGTTTTTTTTTTTTTTTTTCCTTGTATGCCAGCAGAAGTCATATATGCATATTATTTTTCAAAACTTTGGGTCCACTATGTGTGTACTATCTTGTGTTTTTTTTTAATCTTACATTCTTTCAAACCTTTGTGATTATGAGTGTTGTTAATGGGAAAAATAGCATTCATATGACATTTTAGTGATTTGTATGTTTTCAAGGCATTTTTTTCTGAGTTGACATTTTATTGAAATGTATTGGGCTTTAAGCAATATTCTTTTTAGGGTTCTGGTAGAGTAGTGCCTAAGGAAGAAAGATTGGGCAATCTATTTCTGTAGTGATAGTGCCTGGGAAACCCAAGGAGGGGTCTCTTAGATCCAACTTGACGGCATTGACTTTGGTTTTGGTTTTTAGGGTGGTGGTAAGTGCCTTCAAGCCAATTCCTACAGCCCTATAATGCTCTTTCTTCCTTTTCAGCTTGTATCAGAAATTTGCAGCTGTTGTGTTGTGTTGTGTTCTTATATATGGGCACTCTGGTAGCATAGTGCCTAAGGTACTTGACTGCTGACCAGAAGGCTGGTGGTTCAAACGCCCTACCCACTCCACAGAAGGAAGGTTGGGCCATCTACTTCCTAGTGATACTGCCTCGGAAACCCAAGGAGGGGTCGCTATGAGTCAGGTCCCACTCGACAGCACATAACAACAACAAGGAGCTCTGGTGGTGTAGTGGATAAGGGACTTGACTGCTAAATCTAAGGTCAGTGGTTCAAACCCACCAACTGCTCAGTCGAAGGAAGACTGGGCAATCTGCTTCCATAAAGATTTACAGCCTTGGAAACCCAGTGGGACTCGTTATGAGCCAGAAACAACTCAATGGCAGTGAGTTTGGGTTGTTTTTTTTTAAAATATGTGTTGTTAGTAACCTAAAATCACATTTCAAAAGTAATATTCTGCTTCATAGCCATAACCACACACCTTTAGAGAGTAAGTCACTGGGCCTGCGAGCTTAGGACCGTAGTTGTGGGGAACATGAAGGTCATTTGGCGTAACAAAGTCCACAAAGACATTGTTCTGTATCCTATTCTAGTGAGTAGTAACTGGGTCTTAAAAAATTGTGAGCAGCCATCTAAGGTGCAGCTGTTTGGCATCCAGAGCAAAGCAGAGTGAAGAAGATCAAAGATGCATGGAAACAGTAAGTCCAAGGGAGTAGTGGACCACATGAACCTCATCCTCTGTGAACCTCCACCTCCGTGACCCTGAGACCTGAAGAACTAGATGGTTCCTAGCTACGACTGCCAACCACTGTGAAAGAAATCCCATTAGGAGATCCTGAATAGAGTGGGAGAAAAATGAGGAACAAACTCAAAATAATGAAAAAAGATCATGCTTACTTGTCTGGGAGACTGGTGGAACCCCTGAGATCGTGGCCCTTAGGCCAAGATAGTACACTCTTCAAGCCTGGAACTGAACTTAATCCCAGGGCTCGAACTTTCAGCCAAACGATAAACGGACCTATGAGGTGAACGGTAACTCTAAGGAAATTAACCTATCCATGCCTCGGTTTGTTTACTTGTCAATAAAATAGGATTAATAATCTGAGCTACCTTATAGGCTTTGGGGAAGGATTAAATGAGTTGATACTCATAAAGGACTTAAAGTAGTGCTTGTTGTTGTTGTTTTGTGCCGTCAAGTTGGATCCAACTCATAACGACCCCTCCATGAGTTTCCAGGGCCGTGTGGAAGTAGATTGCCCAGTCTTTCTTCCGAGGAGTGGCTGATGGATTTGAACCTCCAACCTTCTGGTTAGCAGGCAAGTGCCTTAGGCACTATGCTACCAGAGCTCCCAAAGTAGTGCTTGATTCATTTTAAGCGCTCCAGAAGTGTTAGCTGCCACCATTGTTTATCAGTATTTGTATCCTCTGTCATAAATGTCACCTCCCTTAATAATTTTCTGTTCTTCGTTCAAGATTTTGATTTACTGTGAAGCTTTTTCCTAATTCTCCCCCACCTAAATTCTTTGCCTTCTCTTTTGTACCCACACAGACCAGTGTGCTTGCCTAATCATTGCATTTGTCACATTGGACTTATTTCTTTACCAGGAAGGTAGAGTCCCACAGTCCACCACTGTGCTTCATTCATTTTTGAGTTCCTCATAGCCCAGTGAAATGTACATCACAGGGGCCCAAAAATGTTTCTAAAACAAATGACTGAATTGGCACACACTCCTTACAATAGTCAACCGGAGGAGATCAAAAGGGCAGTGTTTGTCCAGGGATGAAACTCAGAAGGCAGGCGTGGATAGGAGAGAAGGATAAAGGGAAATGGTAACCACAGGGAGGAAGTGGGAAGTGGGAAGAGGGCTGCTACATTGTGAGAATTGCATTCGTTGTCATGAAACAAAATGTATGAGCTGTTGAATGGAAAACCAATTTGCTCTATAAACTCACCCAAATCACAATAAAAAGTTTAAAAAAAAGAGGTAGTTTCCCCATAAGTAATAATGTCGAGTAATGAAAATCTTACAAAGTGTATTATTCTAACTCAATAATGTTTTAATACTGTATGTATTTATGGGGTTTGGATACTTGATGGAGATCGTGGAAGACAAAAGATGACTTAATAACTTGAAAAGAAAGGAATAATCATTTGCATTATGATAGTGTTTCACAGTAGATATTGATGTCCCAGAAACCACCCTCAGGCTTTTCCTTTTTCTCTTTAAAGAAATTGTTTTGGTTTGCTGGTCCAATAGAGCCTGGTGGAACCACTGAGACCATGGCCCCTAGCTGCCCTTCAGGTCTGGAATTTAACCCATGCCTGTAGCTTCCAGCCAAACAATAGACAGGCATATGAGTTGAACATTTACCTGAGGTAGATCCACTCCTTGGAGAGAACAATCATGGGAGAAAGAAGGGCTGCTTATGCACAGGGAGACAGCTCAGGGGGCAGGAGTGATGGAGGGTTGGACACTGGGAAGAGGTAACTATGGGGAGGAAGTGCTAGGGGAGCTGGTACATTGTGGTAAACTGTGGTCAATGACACGTGACAAAGTATATGTGAACTGCTGTACAGAAAGTGAATTTGCTCTGTAAATCTTTACCCAAATCATAATTTAAAAATTAAAAAAAAAAAAAAGAAACTGTTTTGGTTGCAACTAAAATAAACTTTACAGTTAGATGAGTACTAATGCCTGAGACAATAGAAATCACATGGGTAAAGAAGGTCTGCTTCAGATGGCTTGTAACTGGTGACTTGATGTTTTTCTT